TCCCACAGTATTTACTTTACCGTTGGGATAATTGACAAGAAGCTTGACGTCGATCAGTTTTTAACCGTTCGATCCTGCAAGGATAAGGCTGTGAGTTTGAGGCAGGTCACTTGAGGTACGCTGTGGTTTTTTGTCCTCTCTCTCTCTCTCTCTCTCTCTCTCTCTGCCTGTTGTATCTTTGTTTAGAGGTTGTTCCAAAAGAAGTTGTGCTTCTGTGCAAGTTGGAATGTGAAAGTTAATCTAGATAAAGGCTGGTCTTTTGGTGAATGAATGAGCAGAAGCTGTGTCAGAAATTTGAAGTAGCTCTTTCATGTGCTTTTAGATTGCAGTTAACTAATTATGGATTATTGAAACTGGAAATTGGAATTTGAGTAGACGCCAATGGTCTTTATTTGGCATATCCGGTTGTGCTTAGTGTTTGAAGTCACTACTTACTATCTTCATTGTAGATTAGATTACTTTGTCTGATTCAAGAAGAGTATATCCATACTTGGCCGAGCTAAAAGAAAGTCGGGCAGTGGGCGATTTTGTTTTTCTTTCACTTGAGTTCAATAGCTCAAGGATTTATGAATATGGAGAATGAACAGGGAATATGAAATATTTGTGAAGAGCACAGGTATGGAGTGCAAATGATTCATAACAGCTTATAGGTTTTAGCTTCAAGTTCTTGCTTATTTACTGATGTAAGGTGTGTTTTGCCAAAACCGGATTTTTTGGAGTGGTTTGTTGTAGTAGAAGCTAAAACTATTGATAATCAAAGTGGATAGCATCTGCAAATGGCAGCTACAAGTTGAAGTGTTTTAAGAAAAGAATATTTCTAATATCAGCTTATGGATGAATAGGTAGAAACACTCTCATGTAGGGAAGTGTACGTGTGGTAAGGAATAAAAGAGATTCAATCTTTCAATACGATAGAACACAATAAAATTCTTATTTCATTCATCAACTGAGCAAAACAAAAGGTGGAGAGTCCTTTAAATAAGGCTCCCACAAACCCTACTCCTAACCTTGTCCACATAAATAATTAAAAATAACTTAATATGCATAATAAAATATATATTTAGACTAATGGGACTAGACAATCATATTTGTCGAGATATGCCAATGCAATCTCGTCGGCGTCATCCTCCCCTGGGTGGAGAGGATTCGGCTTCGAATCCGCAACAATCTCATCGGCATCGGAATCGTACTCAGGCCAAATGCGTCAAGGGAAAAACATCCGACGTGCGCACATGAGAAGGCAAGTGAAGACGGCAGTCGGTCGGAGTGATCCTCTCGATGATGTCGTAGTGGTCGATCTTACGGGCGGACAACGCACTAGACTCCCGCGCCGAAAAGTGGTCCGGCGAAAAAATAACCACACAAAATCGCCCACGTCAAAAACTACCTACCGACCATCCAATGCGCGTGACAACTCCCCACACGGCGCGGCGTGAGAGAGGAATAACAACGGTGATGGCGAAGGCAAAGGGAGCGAACAAGGTGCCAGCGAATGTAAGACAATGCGGACGCCCTCAAATAAAGACTTATACGTGTTAAGGCGTCCCTCGTGCAACACCGAACAATCAAAATGCCAAGAATGCCCCAATAAGAGGTGCCAAGCATCCATAGGCACGGTGTCACACCACGCCATGTCTTTATACATTGGCGTGATATAAAAGGAAACCAACACGCCGTGATTGACAGTGAAAGCATTGTCACGCTGTATCCATGCAAGAGCGTAAGGCGCTAGATGCGGTTCACTCGTCAAACCAAGATTCTCCTTGGTCGTATGTGTGATCATGTTCTCACACAAGTTGAAATCAATAATAAAACAGTACACCCGGCCGCCAATGATGCATGTGGATTCAAAAAGGTGATGACGTGGACCGTCGTCATAACGATAAGCGTGTGACTCACATCTCCCAAAACATGCACCTCCGAACCTCAAGCTCAGTATTGAAAATGGGAGGGCCATCGTAACTGCCCAACTCTGGCTCCTCGACCAGCAAATCCCGTGACCCTCTCACGTTCAGTGCCAGACGATGTCTAGGTTCGCCACAGTCAGTGTGGCGCGCTAGGCTGCCGACTGCCGCCCCCATACGTGGGGCCAACTACCAGGCCATCTGACGCCCCTGAACTCGGCTGCAAATTCGCGGCAGAAGGTGCGGTAACCGCAGACCCCGACACCCCGTTAGGCTCCCTCGCAGACGGCGCAGAAGTAGCGCCTACCTTCCGGGCCTGCTGCTGCTCTACTAACAACGCACACTGGTGCGTATCAGAAATGCAGTCTGGGGTAACCAATAAAGCATATCCGGTATAGAGACACGAAGCCCACCAATATAACGCGAAACAAGTTGGTCTGTAGTTTCACGAACATCAACACGCGTAAGGAGTTTGTAGAATTACTCAGTGTAGTCATCAACCGAGCAAGCGCTGGCCTTGCCGAAGGTTCTGTAAACGCTAAACGCTGATATATAGTGCAAATGAAATTGAATGGCAAGAACTCTCGTTCAAGATACTTACAAAACTTGGCCCACGAGTTGATTTTCGGCTTGCCCTAACGATGTTGCACGCCTTTCAACTGCTGCCACCACGCGACCGCCCGACCACGAAGTCGTGTTGCGACGAGCGTCACTCGACGATCATCCAACACATTCTTGTACTCAAGAGCCGAGAATTCGGGTATGTCCACACGAAGGCGCCCTCCCATAGATGGTCACCGACACCTCCTTGTCGTTGGTCGATACCCTAGTCCTCGTCAAGGCTCCAGCCCACGCGACGCTGGTTACCATACTGCCCTTAGTGGACGCCACGGCCCGCGGCTGCACGACGGTAGGCATGGGGCTCATTGGATTCCCAACCCGCGGGCGACTATCCCTGCTAGTCGCCAAACGCGCCGTCAAAGCTTGATGACGGAAGCCGCGGTCCTGTGCATCACCTAAACCCTCGCGCCGAAATTCGCCCAAACCTCTGCGCCGAAATTCGCCCAAACCTCTGCGCCAGAAGTCACGATCTTGAGCGTCGCCCAAGTCGTCGCACTGAAATCGCCCAAACTTGCACGCCGGACGTCTCAATCCAGAGCATT